GTAGGGCTTATATTTTCAAATCAAGACCCCCAAATTTCACGATGATCTGATTTCACGATAATCCGCGACATTTAATGTCTTGCTTTGATCTTTAATAAATGGTTTGAAAAATCAACATTGATTTCTTCTAGTTGCATATTGTAAGATTCGAAAATAGGAAAAGTGAATCAGAAATTCTTCGTTGAATCGCTATTTAGCAAATTCTGATTAAAGAGCGGTTGAAATTCTTGATTAATATTTGTTGATATAAATTATTTATACTTTGTTAAAGTTACATTACTAATTAAAGTTACCAATTAATTGTTGTTAAGGTCCAATGGGATTCATGCGATTTTTGACGTAACTGTTACCCTACGTTACATCATATAAGTTTTAACAACCTTAATTACAAGTAATTCTTGGCAAAGCGGATTTTGTTGAAGTCGTTTCTGATATTTTTTCAATTTTTATTATAATACTAAATATTGTAGAGTTCAGAAGCACGTAAAACTTGTGAAAAGATTAGAAATTAAAATTATATTATTAAAGCAATTTATCTCTTTTCAATAAGGCACGCGACAAATCAGTCGTAAATCGTAATATAAGGATACATTATCCATCATTCAGATTCGATTCGATTGAACTAATGCGAATCTCAAAAATGCAGCATATTCGGTTATTTTAAATATAAGTCATTATATTCTCATGATGAGTTAGCGGGTCCTAGCAAGGTACTTCAATTTGTTTTTTTTTTAATTAAAATGCTATACCAAGTTTTTGCAATTACTCACACGAACTTCGTACATACGTACTTGTGAATTATGATGTCACAACTCATACAGTATTAATAGTAATTTATTGACAATTATCAAATACGATAATATCTGAACAATTACCGGAATTGATAAAATTTTGCCCAAAAAATATTTTTCTTTATGAGGCTTTAGTTCAGAGTTTTTACGATTCTTTAATGAATGCTAAACATAATATAAATTGTGACTAAGTTTATCTCACAAAAATTTTTTGCATCAATTATTGAGATTCATATGGTCACGGTCATCTGATCTCACTAATAGAATTTAGTGATACTATACTGTACTGTATTTGACGTTGAACTCTTAATTATGTGATTGTATTTGGAATTTGTACGTTTGTGTCATTACTGCAAATTTGAATTTAAGTTCTACTCATTTTAGCCTATACTCTAGTGCTAGCTAAAGTAGTCAGCTTAAATTCAAGATAATCTAGTATTAGAACGGGTCTTCCCGTCATCAACTCATGTAGATCTATTATGATTGGATAAATACATTATTGTTCTGATCGAAAGTAGAGACAATGAATTGGTTGACGGGTTGATCCGATACAAAATATAGACACATCCAATACTGTATTCTTGTATAAATAGGTAAGAACAAAAAATGTCTTCATTTACAGCGCAAATGCACATTATTTAGAGTATCCTTTTTATCTTTCTAATTAAATTTAATAAATTGCGAATCAAGAACGACATTTTTGAGTGGCAGATAAATTAGTTATTTTTCGTCTGATCAGGATATCAGTGTAATCAGAAGATGTATCAATGTCTCACCAGTTCTTTCCAGTATTACAGGGTACGTACGTACATACGTCATACGTACAGTATATACTTATTATTATTGATCGCTGCTTATTTCGCAAATTAGGAATATTAAATACGCAAATTTATATGATTTATTGGCCTCTCATAAAAACGATAATGAATGTTACAGTTCATTCCGAAAATGGTAGTTTATGTAATTTATACGCATTGCATGTACTTAAAACTTCCGAGTTTCGAATAGCGGTCGCAATCTCTTCTAACCTATTTTTTATTTAAATTTTTTTTCCCTTCTTTCTAGATTTTTGTTTAAAATAGTATATAGATTTTAGATTTAATTGATTGCAAATTTGTGGCTTTTGTTATGTAGGTTATTAAATTGCTAGTGAAAAAAAGTTCTGGATGTTATTACTTTGTTAATTTGTAAATTAATTAAACTTTAATATACAGTCTTTTTTTTCTATTTTTTATATGATGGGTGTTCTCTCGCGTAATGAAATAAAGAAGTGTTTGGATGAAAAGTACATCATTTATAACTTTGATATATAAAAACAGTGGGATCGATCGTCTATTAACATAATTCTAAATATTATTTTCGATCCTTTTTCTAAAAAGGAAACTTGTAATCGAACCTTTCGATCAAAAAAATGTCGGTACTGCTAGGTTTGTCTATTTCTAAGAATAAATAATATATTTAAAATTTTTCTTTTAATAATCATATACTTACTTTTTTCACTTCAAACAGCGTTGATCTAACTCTTTCGGATGAATTTAGATACTTTATTCATCATAATGGACCAGTCCCAATCAGTGACGAAGCCGGTGCCAAAGATTACCAAAAATTTTCTCGTATCGTAAGTATTAGAACCGCTGAAACTCTAATTTCATTTTAGAACAAAAACGTTCAGAGTTGACAATTGGGCACAAATTGGATATTTGGACATATAAAACTCTATATGCCCAATTCATGCCAAAATAATTGGACATATAAAACTTGTTATCACTGAAAATGCTCAGGTGATAAAATGTAAAATATAAAGTAAATGTGGGTATTATGACGAATGTGGGTATTTTGACGAATTGAACATATTACAAGGAAACAGGTTTTTTTTCAAGTAAACCTAAACTTTGCTTACTAAGTAAACTTGTTCAACATACCATCTTTTACTTACCCTCAAATTTTGGTGCAATTCAAATAACCTTTTATTAATAAGTTTTTTGTTATACGTTCCAACACATAAAATTGCGCCAAAACGTATAACGAAAAAACTATTAATAATAAGTTATTAGTATTGCGCCAAAATTTGAGGATAAGTAAAAGATGGTATTTCGAACAACTTTACTTGGTAAATGATATTCAGTTTACTTAGTAAAAAAAACAAGTTTTATTGTTAAATGTTCAATTCTTCAAAATATCCATATTAATGATTGTCACATTCGTCAAAATACCCACAGGGAAGTTAGAAATTATTGTTACATAGAGAACATCATATAAAACTTGAGTTTTTTTTTATTCAATATTGTCGAGCAGATTTAAATTTACATAATTCAAAAACAAAAAAAAAAAAAAAACCTAAAAGTTTTTTGACAGACTTTGTTAGTAAAAAGTGTTAGCATCGTCAAAATACCCACATTTACCTTAGTTTATAATTTGGATTCATTAAATGATCATATACATTAATGCCATTATGTTGAATTCTAGTTGAAATTAGAGGAGGGTAAACCCTATTATCTTGGTCCTGGTCAAATGTGTTTAGGTGATTTATTTTTATTCTTATTAACATCCCCTTTTCCAAGTAATAATGTAATCGCTTGATTTCAGGAATTACACGAGAAAAGGTCACATTACCCTCAAATATTTGCGCTTTAGTAGGTATTGTAAACTGTTCTTTATATTACTATATCACATTCTCGTTGCCTTATTACGCTTAACTAATCTATTTCATGAGCAGAAGGGAGATCTAGATTCGCTCGATTAGGTTTGTCCGTACATATTACCGCCTCATTTATTAACCCCGGAGTGAATAATCAGACGGTTTTGGAAATTTTTAATGCCTCAAGTCTTACATTGGCCCTTTATCCAGGCACAAAAGTTTGTCAAATGATTTTTATGACTATGGAAGGGCAAGCTGAATATTCTGGGATTTTCCAGGGACAAGCTCTATAAAAATTATACTATGGATTTTATTGTTTTTTTTTCGTTTTTTTTTTTTTTTTTAATTGAGATAATAATGTACGTTATAATATGATTTTTTAACTTTTTTTGTGAATTTATAATTTTTGTTATGTACGGTATAATTATATTAGATTTTAGACTACACTAATGATTCTAATTCAAAGAAACATTAAATTATAATGTTTATAATCTACTATATAATGTTAATATACTATATATATAATGTTAATATAATGTTAATATACTGTAGAAAATGCTAGCCTAACTTTCTAAAAAAATTTGTAACTCAGATGCGTGTTAGTACTCTTATATATGGATTTCCTTATGTCAAGAAAATGATCTACATCCGATGTAACACACAATTTTGATAATATTATATATATATAT